AAAAAAATAACTGTAGTAAGAAAAACAAATGAAAAATGCGAACTAATGTAACGTCGTATGGTGAGTTTTTGTTCGTATTGTGGAGCAAAAATATGTTCGAATTTCATGTCGTATCCTGAAAATTTCGTATGCTGGAGCGTTCGTAACCTGAGGTACCACTGTATGTTCGAATTTCATGTCGTATCCTAAAAATTTCATATGCTGGGGCGTTCGTATCCTGAGGTACCACTGTATTATATATACTCTATTATTGTATTTTATGTTTTTCATTAACTAGCTAACAACTTCATCCTGATCATATTTTACTATATAATTTTTTTATTAAGCCACACTAATTGAAACTAAACTAAGATAGCAGTAAAGCACCAACATACTGTTATGTAGACCTGGGTTTGACTGTCAACAGCACAAAACTATTATAAATCCATTAAAATTAAAAATTTTAAGTAAATATATTACAATCCAAAATATATTTGTTACTATCTTAAAATAAATACAGTTTCCTGTAACTTCAAAAATGTACAATTACTCAGGAAAAAAATACTGAGTAATTGTAATTAAAGTACTCCCAGAGATATTTAGTATTCTAAATGCAATCAATCTGGTATGATGACATTAAGACATCTGAAAAACATTTCCATAAAAAAATTTAGCACCAAGATTCACTATAATGGCACACAGCAAACATTTTACTTCTACAAGACATGCATACTATACAAAGACCTTGTGGTCTCCATTCTAAAGATTAAAAACCTGAAGTTAACAAACTGTGTTCAATAACTAATCATAATTTATCCCCTAATGATTCTCATATAAAGTTTTATACTATCCTTCAAAACTGTCAAATTTGCAGATGTCCTTGATAAAAATTTTAAGTGTTTTCACAACCAAAAATCACATGGATTAAGATTTAGAAAGTGAGGTGACTAGACAATAAAAAAACTATCATCACTGTTATTGATGAAATGATTTTGCAGATACTAATATATCTGAAAAACATTATGCAGCATCTGATAAGTTCTACTATCATACTTTACTTTCCAACAAAATAACTTTAATGGATAACATTAATGTTATATCCTAACTCAGTTAGCTAATACTTTTAATTCATTCAATCAGATCAGATATGTTGATGCACTCCACCTTGCACGAAAGTGGTTAATTCGAGGCATTGCCACTGTTGCAGTTTGGATAGGAAGTGTTGAGCATCTCTTGGTTTTTCTAGGTCATCACAGCATATGTCACAGGAACATTGGAACTAGCTTCTTTGAAGAATCCAAAGAGAAATGTGGCTGAAATTCATACCAGATTGTGTGCAGTGGAATACGTTAGAAAATGTGATTTTTCTATGACTCAAATACGACAGTTACAATTGTTTATGGTTCCACTGAGGTAATAATGTGCCCAGTTGTTCCATATTATCTTCCATGGCCACAATACATACACTTCTATTCTTCAAGGTAGACCAATGCAAAAATCAGTTGTTCTGTCAGTAGCAAGAAACTGTTAGTTTTGGATCAATCTTAGACAGGTAACAACACATCACACATTCTCAGTACCTTCCACATGTGCCAAAGGTAGCACTCAACTGCTGTAACACTACATTTTACTGGAGTGAGCAAGACTCATTGACTGAAACAGAAGCTGTAATATTGTCAAGTTGTGAAGCGATTGGTTTGCATCCTCAATCACATTGAACTCTTGAACTTCCATTGTTTCCTAAAGTTGAGTCATCATTCTCCTGAGACTTTGTAAGGTCAATAGTTCATGTTAATTTTCATAATGGAAAAAGTGCAGTGACAGCATTGTCATTGTTTTCATTAAACAGACTACAAGAAATGCAAATTCTGGCAAGATGAAGGTTATTGTAGAGGGTAGGAATGACATTCAACAGTTTTAGTCACTTTTAAACCTAGAAATGGCTTTTCTGTTGTTTGCAATGCCAAAAGTGTCATTTTTTTAATGGAAATGTCTTCTGCAAATTGTGAGACCACCATATCAGATGTGGTCACATTTAGATTTAGCATATTACCTCTATTCAATGCTATCATTTGGAATATTTTTAGTTTTGCAAAAATTCACTTATATTTTACCTTAATTTTTATTTAAAAAATTGTTTTAATGATAAATTTTAACAATTTACATGATGGTTAGATAATTTATGCAAATAATTTTTCTCTACCTATTATTCTAGGACAGGGATGTCCAACCTGCAGCCCACTGCACCCTAAATTCTTTGGGCACATTTTCATTTAGCTTGGTAAAGTATATCATAAATTGGATACATTTTGATTGGATATACTTGTAATGACATAATTGTTACTAGAAACCTGTACTATCCAACATGCATAAACATACTGTTCTGAACAATTCTTTTTGTGCATGAAAAACATCAAACTGCTGAAAGAAATAGGTTGGGTGATTCCCATTTAACTAGCATTCTTAGAATTAAGACTAGTACCATAAATGCAGATGTTGACAATACAGTAGAGCCTCGAAAACTCGGCCTAATGAGGACCGAAGGGTAGCCGAGTTTGTGAAAATGCCGGGTTATCGGGAATGGGGTTAAAAAAATAAGTATGAGTGTTTCCTTAGAAAATACTGTACTGCACTTGTATGTATTGTTTACTTGAGAATATAACAGAGAATAAACTGCTCAAATACTCTTAAAGAAAGGAAAAGTACGTCTTTTATGAAGGCAGAGACTTTACTACATGAAAATGAAAATTAATGAATATGCTGTGTACAGTAATTTACCTGATAAGATAGACCTCAGAAAAATACTTTATGAGGCATAAAGCTGTCTTTATCATGAAAATTAATTAACTAAGGGTTTTTTGCCCTGCCAGGGTGTGGCCGAGTTATACGGAGTGCCGGGTTATCGAGTGCCGAGTTTTCGAGGCTCTACTGTATTATAAAAAAGATAATGTCAAAACTCACATTGCATTTATATCTATTTTGTGTGATTATAATTTGTTTTTACTGTCAATAATATATATAATTACAAAAAAATACTGCATTTGTTATCAAAATTAGATATTCACATTTTGAACTTTTTAAAAAGCATATATTTATATAAATTACCTTTGTGGCTCACTGAATATATGTAAAGTTTTAATTTGTCCTATTAGGAAAAAATATTGGACAACCCTGTTCTAGAAGATGAATTTATCCTCTAGAAATTCTCAGGTGACTTGACATGCATATACAGAGCCTTGTTCCTCACCACCTGGACGAATCCCTGATGGTGATATGTATATATGAACATCTATGTAAAGAACACCTTTTAACTGTTATCTCTGTGGCAATAAATTTTACACAAGATATATCTTCGTTAACTGACTTTCAGGCTATTTTAAAATTGTATGAAATGATTAAAATTGATTTGAAATGGCTACATGTTATGTATGATTCAGCCACTCCAAATGGAGAAACTAATCATGAACTATAATAAACTGTAGTTCCAAACTAATTTTAACTATAAAATACATCTTTAACTGACTTTTCGATCAGTGTGCATGTATGTGAGCATTTATATATAAAAAAAAGTACCTTTTGATATTGAATGTTGGAAAATCGACAGAGTTTTTTATTAAAACTGTAAAATATTTTGTATCAGGAAACAAAGCTGTTCCATTTTTTCTGAAAACAAAAAATATATTTTAATTGCATTACTGTAGTGCTTATAATCTTCATATAAATATATGTAAATTTTGTTCTTAAAGTGAAAAAACAAAAATATATTTAAACTAATGTTTAGGATTTTTTTTAAATTTGATATTTATTACTCACAATGGTTTTTCATCATATTCCACAGGACACCAAGCCTCAATCTGACATGTATAGTTTGCTTTAGTACTATTATAGATTGGAACACACTCTCCAGTTGCTACACCTATAAATATCAATCACAGAATTAATAATATTTGATCAAATTTTATTTTATAGCATTTCATTTTATAAATATAAAGAAAAATATTACTTTTAAAAGTTTAACACAATTGTAAGAAAAACACATTATTTAATAAAGAAAATTTATAAAATTTGTAAGATAGAATATTTACAAATAAACCAAACAACTTAGAAAAATGTAGTTATTATATAATCAAATCATGCAGCAACTCAAAACAATTTTTTAATCAAAAAAATACCTTTCCTTTAGATTTTAATATGGGCTGCATTTGTGATGCAAGGAACACCATGAACATAAGACCTTATTTTTCTGGTTTTTTTCCTGGGAATATGTGAAAGATCATGTGTATGTATCAAAAGTGAGTGACATTGGTTAACTTAACCAATTAATTACAGATGTCATCCAAAACAGTTACTCTGGAAATGCTAAGGAATGTGGTGAGAAACCAAATATTGGTTGGATATTGTTTGCATCAAAAATGGAGCCCATAATAAAGTTTTCTTAAGGCAGGTATTTTTTTTCTGGATTAAAAAAAACTGTTTTGAGTTGTATTTATATATCAAATCATACAGCATCTTCCTAAGTTTGATTCATTTATAATTCATTAATGAAATTCACTCATCCATTGGGGAACGTCCTGCATAATAAAACCTAACATGTTTGACATACAGTTTTACTAAACAGTTTTATTAATTTATTCAAAAATAAAATTTTATAGTTTGATGATGAAACATACACAGATTATGAATTATAATTAAACGATTATACTTTGTGAAGTTTGGAAAATAGAAAAAAAACAGGCATTGAACAAAGTAAATGGAAAATAGACTATTAGAACAACATAAATAAAAATATGACTCAAAATGAAAGCATCAATAATACATTAATGATTAAGAACAAATGATTAAGAACAATTGTTAAATTTAAAATGTAAGAATTAAAACTTATAGTAACAAAAATCATTTCTACACATCTTCAGAGTTATTTATAAAAATATTTTCGGCACATTTAATTAAGCATAGACTTGTCAATTAAAATATCCAATAATTTATATGAGTAAGCATTTACAAAATTTAGAAAATTACTAATAAAATAAAATATAAATAATAGTCAACTGAAACATTTTTCTTAATAAAAAAAAAACATACAAGTTTATATAAAAATTTCTGCAAATAAAACATTATTTTAATGAATTACATTATTTTCAAACCTTGCTCTCAAATGTATATAAATATTTTTATCATCATGAAGACTAATTCAGGTCAATTCTCTCAGAGTGCATTGCTCTTGCCATAATTTAACAAACCATTAAATAAAATAGTGGTAGAAACAAAGTTGATTCCCTTTACTAAAATTTTATTTATAACTTTCCAATAAGACAAAAGTTAAAACTTTTGTCTTATTGTTATAAGTCATAATAGCATATAAAAAATCAAAAATTAAATAAATTTATTACAGTGGAACAAAATTAGTTTATAATCATAGCATTTTGATAATGTTATAAAATCAGCTATTGTATTCAGTAAGCCCCAGAACAATACATAAAATTAGTTAAAATATTCCACTTATTATAACCAAACTTTGGCAATTGTTATCAATTATGATACAGTAGAGGCACAAAAACTCAACACTCGATAACCCAGCAGTCCAGATAACTCGGCCACACCCTGGCAGGGCAAAAAATCCAATATTTTATATTTTGATAATTAAGATTCAATAAAAAAAACAATACTGATTCACATTTTAAACTTTTTCAATGCTGAATATTTTGTTTCAGCTTTTTGTATGGTCCTCTAATTTTTAACCAGGGCTGTGGAGTCGCATAAAAATCTTCCGACTCCTACTTTTCCTTGCCATCCGACTCCGACTAGGGGCAGACATGTTACCGAAAGAGACCCGGAAATTCTGATGCCATCACGTGACCTCAAAATAGAATATTCAATAAATAGAGTGGTAATAAAGATAAAGCATAAAAACTTTTTATTCCAAAGCTAAAAGACTTCTCTAAGTAATATATAAATATGTATTCAATAATTTTTACTTTTCCGGCTATTAGGCTATATATAACAAATGAAAAGTGTAGCGCTCGGTCAAAAAATGACCCCTCCCAAATTTTTACATTTTTGGACTCGGGACAACTTGAAATTTCGAGATATGCAAAAGATTCGAGGTTTTTTTCTATATGTGTGGATGTTAGACTGTGTGTGAGGGGCATAATTTCGTTTATCCTGTTTGAAGCCTAATAATTTCTGTGGTTGGAGTGGTCAGAATCAGAGTCGGATGGTTTAACACAGGAGTTAGTTATTTAAGTCATAGTGGTTGAACTAAATCATGTCCCCATATACATTCTAACATCTTAAGCGAGAACATCTTAACGGGTTTCACTGTACTATTATAAAATGGCAAAAAAGCTTACTTTGAGGGTAAAGACGCGTTTTATTTTATTTTTTTAAATTTTGAATGCTAATAATGAGTAAAATATTCATTAGGAGATATGACACATGACCACTTTTAAGTCTTCACCCTGTCGACCTTTAAGAACCAAAATTTAATAGTATTAATGCCCCTTTATACGCGAGCTACAGTGCCACATTTCGTTTCTTAAACTTTACCCGTTCTGAGATATTGTTTAATATTTCAGAACAGAAAATAAAGAAATTAAACAAATTAGATGCCAACACACACGCGCGTGCGCTAATTTTTTCCCTTCATTGACTTTTTTGAGGGGTTCGGGAGGTCTCCAAACGTGTAGATTTGAAAAAAAAAAAAAAAAAACTTGGAGGCTTAAATTTGACACGATTCCAATACTTTTCCGTTTTATGTACATAACAAGTTGGTAAATAAAAAGGAGTCTGAGTCGGCGAATTTTTTGACGACTCCGACTCAAACACAAACTCCACGACTCCAACTCCAACTCCGAAGCCCAGTTTTTAACCAACTTTTTGATGAATTTTATGCAAATGTATAAATTAATTAGAAAGAAATCTTTTCCTCAATTTAATTAAAATAAATTCAAAAATTAAATTAATATAAAAAATTTTTAACAAACCATTTCCAATCATGTAATGATGTCCAGCTGTACATGTATTGTTATGTATATTGCATATAGCATCTTTTATAGAAGGATCCTTTAAAATTAAGAAAAAATTATTTTATTTCATATATTTTTGTTACACAATTAGAATTTAAAATATTTAATAGTTAGACTCTGATCAAAAATATTACACTACTAATGGAAAGATAAACAATATAGTCTTGTTTTATGCAGAAGTAGTTTGCTAGCAGATAGGATGGACTACAAATTCACTTAAGTAGTCCCATATTGTAAATTGCTCATGTGTCTAGGCAGAAACACATTAAAATGTGTTTCTGCCAAAACAGAAAAACATTAAAATGTGTTTAAAATGTTTTACTTATGTTTTTACTATGATGAATAACATTTTAGTTTGATGTTGCTGAATACATAAAGCAAAATTTTGTTATACTGTATTGTACAGTCGACCCCCCTATAAGATATAGATACGTTCCAATTTATTAGGAATCCGATTTCTTACAAGTCGTTCCAATCACAGCCCAACATGTGTCACGTTTACGGACTATGGCTGATTGAAAGGTTTTCTTCCATAAAATTAATCGATTCTACACTAATCCGACTCAACATTTCCAAAATACGTATATTTTTTCGTAGTTTTATAGGAATCGTAATTATAGGGACCGTAATTATAGGGGGGTCGACTGTATACACTACTTGAGGAAAATACATGCTACATGCAAACCAAGTATTTACTACAGTTAGCAGTATTTGATAGTTTATGTTCAAAGTGTTAGAAGCTGGAGAAGTATGACTTCAGTCAGATTTAATGGCTCCAAAAAAAAAAAAAAAAAAAGGAACTACGAATACTAACCATTTGCCATCTAAAATGACATAAATCAGGAGATATAAATCTGATGCAAAACAAGACCCTACTGTAAATCTATTTTTATAATCTTGCCATACTACAATAAACTTATATGATACTTACTTCTGGACAAGTTGATAAATTTTGACGAGTAATTTCTATATTTGTTGTTACAAAAAAGGCTCCATTGTCCTGAAAATTAAAGAAATAATCCTCATTAAAATTCTGAAATTTTAGAAATAACTATCATTCTGTATTAAATTATTCATTTAAAAATCAGGTATCGTCAATATGTCAATCCCAGTAACATTTTTAGTAAACTGTAGATCAGGGGTGGGCAAGTAAGAGTTCAGTGGGAGCCAAAATGTAGGTTTTGCAAAATGCATGGGAGCTGCAGTTCTGTACTTTTATTATTCTGTACTACAGTTTTGTACCACAGTTTTATTATATAATATAAATATAATATAAAGCAAATATTGACTTTTTTTAATAAACATATTTTCACAAAATTGTAGAAATAAAATTGTAAAAATAATAATAAAAAGCAGAAATTAACACTTTCAGCAAGAGCTGCATGTAACTCAAAAAGAGCCGCATGTCTCTCTCAGAGCTGCATTTGCCCATGGTGGCTGTAGATAGGTTGTAGATAATACAGCTTGTTAAAATATGAAAAACATTAATTCCCATGGAAAAAAATATTTCCATATTTTCAAATACAGATATTTTTAAAACTAACTAACTATTGCTATGGATTAGTAAAGCTTTATTCTAAGATAGCCTGTGGTCATTCTTTATTTAATTGAAGCACATTGAGAAGTATACATGGGCGAGTCAAAAGAGAGTGTGATTATTTCTTATGAAATACATTTTGCAGAGTTCAGATTGATATGGTCATGTTTGAAAAAGTATCCATCAAGTTGTATGCCAGTCCTGGAAGAAATGTTAGCTGTCTTTTGATATCTTTAAAACCACCATTGATGAGATAAAACATTTGACTCACAGCTCTGATTTCAGAGGAGAGAACAAAAACATCGAAAGGAGCAAGATCTGAGTTGTATAGAGGGACAGCACACATTTGATTTTTATGTCACGCCAAATATTGGGTAACAAGTATTGGAAAGATGAGGACATGCATTATCATTGTATGGGGTACTTCATTTTGGTAAATCATTCCACAGTAGTTAAAGAAAAATCACCATTACCTTACCCACAGACTGAACAACCTTGGCTTTCTTTGGCATTAGAGAGTTGGATAATTTCCGGAGTGAGCTCACCTGTTTGCTTTTGAGATTGTAATGGTTAAGCCAATTTTCATCACCAATAATGATGGAATTCAGATAGGCTTAGCTACGAGATACTGAAATTCCATAGATACTACTACTTGAGTCTACTTCTGTTCAGGCATTAATCTCTTCACCTATTTTAGAAAATGTGTAACATGCCTGCCAATCCATCCAGTGTTATTTGGCAATCTTTCTGAACAATGGCAGCTGCTGTAATAATCATGAACTTTTTTACCACAATAGCTAGAATGCCTGGACCAGTCTGCTTTGTGGTCAAAATACTGCCCTCTTTAAACTGTTTGAACCAATGAAATGTAGTTGATTGCAGAAGAACTTTGCTACATGCCTGCTGCAACATTTTATATGCTTCTGTGGCAGATTTCTGCAAATGGATGCAAAATTTCAAGCTACATACTGTTCATCACAAACTGACTATTTTCATTATGTGACCGCTGATTATGCAAGTATTGTTGACACAGACTACAAGATGCATGCACATATGTGATTACAATTTTCTTTTTGCCAATTCCATGGAACTCACTCTTCTCATGAAAACTTGTTTCACTGCTGTATGTCCACCACATGATAAAAAAATCAATCTCACTTTTTTTGACTCACCGTTGTATATGCAGATAATGAAACAAAAACAAGTGAATTATGTTATTTGTATGAATAGTCTAGCTAGGTTATGTTTTTAAAAATTGCTTTGTTGTGCACTTAACATTTTGATTTCATATACAATATGTGCATAAAACCTTAATTCCACAATAAATAGAAAAATACTTTTTTGTTATAGGTAAAAAATAAATGCTGCTGTTTAATTTATAACACCCCTTTACCAAAAAAGTTAACCTGCAATGTCATTGTAGTGCAACAAATAGATATAAACTAGGTGGTGTGTGCACATAGCATTTTCTTTTACTCCTTCCACCTTGTGGGGATTAAGAAGACAGATGTTACGAGCAATTATTTATTGTGAATCATCACAATGCTGGGCTGTAATTTTTAATCATATTCTTAATTTATTCAATTTAAAATACAGTACATGTTCTCCATCTCAAATTTGTAGTTTCTTGCCTCTGTACATCATACTTTTCTGATGACAACAGTCATGTCAGTCATAACTCCATTCAGGGGAAATTTTTAAACTGAATTCATGTGACTTCTGGTCTAGACAAAAAGTTTGTATATAGTTAATTGGAGCCTCCAGCCTCTAAGCTTTTCATATCTGATCTTGATTTTCATCTAACACTGTTCTCGAGATTAAGGAAGGACAGACAGACGAATGACAGTGAAAATTTATAGGTCTTCAATTTTTTTCAAATTGCAGCCCAATAAGTTATGAGTCATTTAAAATAAACTTTTTTTAAATTACTAAAATTTAATGACACAGCATAACCCAATTAAGGTTTTGCAGTATCCAAGATAAACACACAAGTGAATACACTACTGCAATTTATGAAAGAAAGTTTAAAACAATAAAATGTATTTTTGAATGATTTGTTTGTACCTTTTACCATTTAACTTCAATCTGAGACAAACCATTTATATTAAAATGTATCTACAGCAGTATACAAAAGGATTAGATCACCAAGCCAAGATAATATCCATTAAAATACTAAAACAACTACTATCTATTGGCATTAAAATGCTTGTGTTAAAATAAAAAGTATTTTCAACATTTTTATCAATGTCATCTTCAGGTAAAGAATGTAGTTTTATAACAATTCAATTTTAAAAAAGAAACATTACATATTTAAAATGGAAAACTTATTTTGGAATATAACATTAGATAAATTTAAACTAACATAAGTACAACAACAACAACATGTGCATAGAGACAAATTAGTATGGAAAAAAATAGTAGTACAGTGGGTGATTGAATAACGGACATAATCCGTTCCAAGACTTTGTTCATTATCCGAATTGTTCGTTAACCAATTATCGATTTACTATAGGTTTTTATGGGAATTTGATTAATTTGTTCCGGAGACTTCAAAAAATAAAAAATACACACTTTTTTACTATGTTTATTTATATGTAATAGTAAAAATACATATATATGCAGTCTTGCCATTTTATTACTCATGTTTCTTTCCATTTGTGGGGGTTAAAGAATCTGTCCAATGTCTATTGCTTTTCTCTTTTCTTCAGGATTTTTCGGAGGTAATTAATAGTATTGTAATTGTATAGATCCCCAACCCCATTAACCTTATTCTGGTTTGGATGCCACTTGGATGATCATTGTTCTGACATCCTTCCACTTCTTCAAAAGATCTTTAGTAGCAGACGTCGACATGGTCCTCTTTCATCTTTTTCTTTTTCAAAAGAAAACACATCTCCCTGAGTTTCTTGATGTTATTCATTTGAGAGTTCTTGGAGTTCTTCTGTCATCAGATCAATTTCAGGTTCCATTATGAGCTCTAAAATGCTCTTTATTTCTCAGATGTGATTTTCATTACTCCATTAGCAGCTTGAGACTTCTTGATATATCTTTCATAGCTAAGATTGTGTCTACTGTAGACCTGTTCAAGCCATACTTACTTACAGGNTTTCAGGTTCCATTATGAGCTCTAAAATGCTCTTTATTTCTCAGATGTGATTTTCATTACTCCATTAGCAGCTTGAGACTTCTTGATATATCTTTTATAGCTAAGATTGTGTCTACTGTAGACCTGTTCAAGCCATACTGCCTAGCAACATCGGACATCATGTGCCCACTTTCTACCCTGGCTATTATCTCTTACTTGGTTTCTATGGTGAGCACAGTTCTTGACACTCCTCTTTTTAGGTTCCATAATATCAGTTTTTTTTAAATAAAAAGTTCAGAAAAACACAAAAATTCAGAGAACAGAAATCAACTAGTCCACAAAAAATTATTTAAATGCAAGACCCGGATGAAATTTGGTATTAAAACGTTAACAAATATCCAATGGGCCAGTTAAACTTTCACCTTTCGTAAATAAACCCAGATGCAAAACTTAACAAGTGCCCGTCAAACAGTCTTGCGAAGACTAAAAAATTATTTGTCAGAAAGGTAAACAAAAAGCTGGAATTACAAGGGAGAGTTTCAAAATTCGGAGGAATACTATCTGATCAGTATCGGGTTGAGCGTCAATGTTGACGTCTCTCGCGTTCCGAAAGGTTCCAAATTGTTACCTGAAGACAAGGGAAAATCAGTCGGTATTCATTATTTTCCGTCACTTCTTTTTATGTTTGTTCAGTAAAGTGTTCGTTGTCCGATCACAAAAATCTTTCGCGAAAGTGTTCATTATCCAATTTGTTCGCTATCCGAACTGTTCGTTAACCGATCACCCACTGTATTAATATTTTAATGGATACAACAATGTACATTTTTTATTTTTAAAACTATTGTATATATATATATTAACTGTATAATAAATGATATAAAAAACCAATAATTTTTACAAGATTAAATTCACTAAAATATAAACAGGCTTAAAAGTGCTACCATATTATTATTTTGTATTCAGCTGTGGCAATCAATTTTATCTGAGTTTTCAGTTGTCCAAGAAAGTATTGGCCAACATTACTTTGGATAATTTGGGTTCAACTGTACACATTCACATATTTTATAAAATTTTAAAAATCTCAAAAAGCCCTGGATAGTTAATTCTGTATTGAAATATTAAAAACTGCAAATGCTTACCGAAGGTGGAACTATGATATCAGGAATATCCCATATCCTTTTATATAAACTTGGGTCAACATGAGGGATAAAATCATCATTTGAATTATTGACAAATGCAACACCTTTTAGTTTTGTTGTAACTGAACTTTCAAGTCCACCAAAGCTTTGATATCCTTTATTATATACAATAGCATAACTGGAAAAGAATATGAAAAATTATATGTAATGAAAACAAATTTTTTTATTATTAGCTATCAAAATTCATTCAATATAAACAAATCAATAAAGATTCAAAACATCTTAATTTAAAAGAAAAGAGAAAAATGACAAGATATGTCACTTACTAAAAATAAATGAAAAACATAAAAACTGTCTTTTGGTGTTACTGGTAAATACATGTAATTAATGAGTACAAGCACTTTTGACACTTTCGACAGTATGTTCTATTGTTAGATTTATAAATGTTCCAATCTGCCATATTACCTGAAGAAGACAGTTATATTATATACTGTCAAAAGTGCTCATACTTATTAACTAAACATATTTACCAGCAATGCCAATAGATGGTTTTATGTTTTTCATGTTTCTTAAAAAATTATTTCTGAAACTTAACAATTTTCAAAATTTTATTCTCATATCAAAGAATTTTATTTTACAGAAATATGAAGAATTTTACATGTATTAATTATTTAAATTCAAAACAGGGTGCAGATCCAAGCAGTGATAAAAGAAATAGTAATAAAGAAAATCTTTTACAGCAAATACAAACTTTCATTTTAGGTACCATTATTAGTTTTGAATTTACTTCTTTACTTCATCACTTAAAACAGATGCTAAATTTTCAGGTTGGCTTAAAAACGAAGTATGATAAAATTTTCCATAATAATAATTGATTTTAAAAAAATTTAGTTTTATTTGCACTTTACACCTGAATCTGAACCTTTCTCAATCTATATAATAAATAAAAATTAAAAANTCTTTGTTTTTTCATATTTATAAAATAATAATAAATTTTTGAAATTTTTAATACTGTACTGTATATTATTTTGAAACATACAATTTTATGAGAGTTTGTTTGTGAATGATGACCTTTTTATTTTAGAATATCTGGCTAAAATTTGGAATACAGTTGGTGCAACTGATTCTCCATAATTATGTAGGTGAACATCGGAGTTAAAATTTAAATTTATTCTTTGAAGTTCAACTTCGGAATGCTGTTTCATATAAATATGTTGAACCAAACATTGTACATAGTTTTATGGTTAATGCTTTTACTAGTAGTTCTGGATATTTACTATTACACACATACATTTAATCCAGAATTGTTCATGTTGAATATTATTTAAAAGTTTCTTATATTTGTCCTTTAAAATGGAGTCTTCCTTAATTGAACTATTTCAATCTTCAAAGCAGCTTTTACATTTGAAAACATCTACTTCACTACTCTATTTACTTTAAGGTTTGAACAAAGTGCAAATTTTTTAAAATCACAAATCTTGCTTTAAATTCAAATTTAAGTTTCATCTTGAACTGGGAAATCTCTATCCTTACTGCTGATGGTCCTTTGATAATTGAAGGTTTTTCAGGTCTGGGAAAAATGTATTTGTTCTCCAGATATTGTATATGGTGATCCTAAAATTATTAGGTCATTGCAAATGAAATGCCCATTTTTTAAAATGTAAACTTTCCAGCCTTGTAGTTCAATGTTTTTCCATGTTAATAGTGTTGTATGTTTTGCAATTAGAAGAGCACACATATAATATGTGAATGTAATAATGTAATCTCATTTATATTGTGAGTTTCACATGTTTGAGTATTTTTTCTGACAGCATTGGAAGAAAGGAAATTGAATAATTTTTTTTGAGTTTAAGCAGGGACATAATGCAGCCGAAGCAACCCGATGTATCAATAAAACTTTTGGTGAAGGTTCTGTGAGTGAGAAGGCCACCTGGCATTGGTTCAAAAAATTTCATTCCAGGAATACGATCTCAAAAATCAGAATTGAAGAACATCACCTGACTGGGAAATCATGGAAAGTTTGAACATACTGGACATTCATTCAATAAACATGTTAGGAAAAGTCAAGAAACTTGACAAATGGGTACCATATAAACTCAGTGAGATATAAAGAATCATTTGGAGGTCTGCAGTTCTTCAATTATTTGTCACAAAAATGAAAGTGTTTAAATTAAATTTTTTCCCATCCACCTTATTCTTCAGACTTTTTGCCAACAGACTATTACTTTTTTATACATCTGAACAGTTTTTTTTTTTTTGGAAAAAGTCTTCAAGAAAGAGGAGATGACACAATAAAAAATATCTTTAATGATGTTTTGGATTCTCGTGATTTCTGTCAAATTAGTGTTAATGCATTTCTGTTTCATTGGGAAAAGTATATTAATGTTGGTGGAGACTATTTTTAATTGAATATGTAAGTTTTAAATTAAATTAATAAACATTCAAAGTCAGAAGTAAAAATTGCTCATTTCATTTGCAACAGTTTAATAAAATAACAGATTAAATTTGTATTATAAATATGCAAAATACATTTTTTTTGTAATTAATCTGTATAAAATTTAAAGTTGTTACATTGAAGACTACATATTCATATGAGCAACACATTCTCTGTCTGTATTTTAATATTCGTGATTATCTGATTTTAGTTTACTAAGATGTGGACTGTTTTTAAAATGATGTTAAAAAAACTGGTTCAGAACAGTTACTTGTTGATTCATTTGCTTCATGAATAACAAGAAGCAACTGTTCTAAATACATCTCATGAGTATTTAATAAGATTACTAGTAAAAAAAAAATTAAAGGAATTTCAAAATTAAAATTTTATTACTTTAGATATAGAAATTTTTCCCAAAAAATGAAATAAATGTTTAAGATTGAGAAAAATTGATTGTATTGTTATCACTTTCTCTTGATGCAGTTATATTATTTTTTTTATTTTATTATTTTGTGAACAGTCTGTTTCTGATATATATTTATTGGAATATTAATATCAAAAACAGCACCAAACTAGAAAAGCGAACAGTTTAACATTGATTTATGAAAAAACTTGTTTTTAAAAAGTTTGACATATTTAGCTTATCTTTAAGTTGAAAAATACATAAAAAATTGTGTTGCATTCATTGCAGAAGTAATGTTTTCATGTATTTTTGATGATTACTGTTCATCAACTTATTTTCCAGTTTTATTTTCCTTATAGATTTGGTACCAGATATAAATTTATACATATGAAATATTTAACCTCAAAAAAAAATTTTTTTTTTTTGAGGCTAAATATTTCATATGTATAAACTTATATCTGGTACCAAATCTATAAGGAAAATAAAACTGGAAAATAAGTTGATGAACAGTAATCATCAAAAATACATGAAAACATTACTTCTGCAATGAATGCAACACAATTTTTTATGTATTTTTCAACTTAAAGATAAGCTAAATATGTCAAACTTTTTAAAAACAAGTTTTTTCATAAATCAATGTTAAACTGTTCGCTTTTCTAGTTTGGTGCTGTTTTTGATATTAATATTCCAATAAATATATATCAGAAACAGACTGTTCACAAAATAATAAAATAAAAAAAATAATATAACTGCATCAAGAGAAAGTGATAACAATACAATCAATTTTTCTCAATCTTAAACATTTATTTCATTTTTTGGGAAAAATTTCTATATCTAAAGTAATAAAATTTTAATTTTGAAATTCCTTTAATTTTTTTTTTACTAGTAATCTTATTAAATACTCATGAGATGTATTTAGAACAGTTGCTTCTTGTTATTCATGAAGCAAATGAATCAACAAGTAACTGTTCTGAACCAGTTTTTTTAACATCATTTTAAAAACAGTCCACATCTTAGTAAACTAAAATCAGATAATCACGAATATTAAAATACAGACAGAGAATGTGTTGCTCATATGAATATGTAGTCTTCAATGTAACAACTTTAAATTTTATACAGATTAATTACAAAAAAAATGTATTTTGCATATTTATAATACAAATTTAATCTGTTATTTTATTAAACTGTTGCAAATGAAATGAGCAATTTTTACTTCTGACTTTGAATGTTTATTAATTTAATTTAAAACTTACATATTCAATTAAAAATAGTCTCCACCAACATTAATATACTTTTCCCAATGAAACAGAAATGCATTAACACTAATTTGACAGAAATCACGAGAATCCAAAACATCATTAAAGATATTTTTTATTGTGTCATCTCCTCTTTCTTGAAGACTTTTTCCAAAAAAAAAAAAACTGTTCAGATGTATAAAAAAGTAATAGTCTGTTGGCAAAAAGTCTGAAGAATAAGGTGGATGGGAAAAAATTTAATTTAAACACTTTCATTTTTGTGACAAATAATTGAAGAACTGCAGACCTCCAAATGATTCTTTATATCTCACTGAGTTTATATGGTACCCATTTGTCAAGTTTCTTGACTTTTCCTAACATGTTTATTGAATGAATGTCCAGTATGTTCAAACTTTCCATGATTTCCCAGTCAGGTGATGTTCTTCAATTCTGATTTTTGAGATCGTATTCCTGGAATGAAATTTTTTGAACCAATGCCAGGTGGCCTTCTCACTCACAGAACCTTCACCAAAAGTTTTATTGATACATCGGGTTGCTTCGGCTGCATTATGTCCCTGCTTAAACTCAAAAAAAATTATTCAATTTCCTTTCTTCCAATGCTGTCAGAAAAAATACTCAAACATGTGAAACTCACAATATAAATGAGATTACATTATTACATTCACATATTATATGTGTGCTCTTCTAATTGCAAAACATACAACACTATTAACATGGAAAAACATTGAACTACAAGGCTGGAAAGTTTACATTTTAAAAAATGGGCATTTCATTTGCAATGACCTAATAATTTTAGGATCACCATATACAATATCTGGAGAACAAATACATTTTTCCCAGACCTGAAAAACCTTCAATTATCAAAGGACCATCAGCAGTAAGGATAGAGATTTCCCAGTTCAAGATGAAACTTAAATTTGAATTTAAAGCAAGATTTGTGATTTTAAAAAATTTGCACTTTGTTCAAACCTTAAAGTAAATAGAGTAGTGAAGTAGATGTTTTCAAATGTAAAAGCTGCTTTGAAGATTGAAATAGTTCAATTAAGGAAGACTCCATTTTAAAGGACAAATATAAGAAACTTTTA